GTTTCACTTGATTGGCAGAAGGAGTACCTAACAAGGACATCACTGCTGAAACTGTGACCCGCGCCTTCGTCGAACGTTGGGTAGCAAACTTCGGCTGCCCTTCAACCATCACTACAGATCGTTGACGCCAGTTCGAATCTGAACTTTTCCGTTGTCTGACCACACTTTTAGGAATCACTCGCTTCCGAACGACTGTCTACCACCCACAAGCGAACGGCTTGGTAGAACGTTTTCACCGACAACTAAAAGCTTCAAAACCAGCTGCAAACGTTTCACAGTGGACTGACGCTCTTCCACTCGTCTTACTAGGTATTCACAATGCAGTGAAAGCCGACATTGGATACATCGTGTCTCAACTCGTTTATGGAACGACACTTAGACTTCCAGGAGAATTCGCGGATCCTTCATCTTCTTCAATAAAAATAGATCTAACCTCCTACACGAACAGGCTTACAAACACAATGCGTTCAGTTAAACCTGTTTCCTCTTGATCGCAATCAACTGATGTTTTTGTTCAACCTGACTTACGATATAGTACACACGTCTTAGTTCGTCGAGACTCACATCGACGACCTCTCTAATCAGCACACGAAGGACCCTTCAAAGTTCTACAATGCGAACCCAAGTACTATACAGTTGATAAGAACGGAACCAACGATAGCATCAGCGTCGATCACCTCAAAGCAGTGTATTTGGAAGGAAAACCTATTCACGTTGATTTTCCTTCGGTACAATCGAACGGCACGGCTCCTACACTTATAATGCCTCATCCGACAGCTACCGCGCACGATGATACTTCGGCAGTATTAGAGAATGAACTTAAAGCAACGCGTTCTGGAAGTAGAGTAAGATTCCCAAAACATTTAAACAACTATTGCACGCAAGAGACCAGTCAACATTTTGTTTCATCTCTATTTTCTATGGCATTATATGTAACATCAAAAAAATCAATTTTTACATGCTTATATATATATTTATTATTTGGCTAATATGTATAATAAAAAACTTTTTGAAACAAAAAACAAAAAAACATTTTGTATAAACCGCCTTTGCGTTATTTTCTTTTTTCACCCACTTTGTGTCTTAAAGCACGTACGAGTTTATTTCGACATGCACTTACATATTTTTTTCTTTTCCAGGACAGCTGGAAAAGACGATAAAAAGAACGATGAGGTTTACGAGGAACCAGAAACTTTCATTGTACATTATTTTTTTACTATATTGTATTTCATGGTCCCTTAAAGTAAGGAAAGACGACCAAACGCTGCTAAACCAAGTAAGATATCAGAAGAGTGTTTGCCAACGACAAACTCGTTGAATTTACAATTCTGGTTGGCCACGTCTTAGGGTCATCACTAGCCCACTAGGGCGGTAGTGATCTGTAGCGGTAAATAAATCCCCAAAATAAGTAGCTCTGTAAGTCTTCGACATTGGATGCTGACCACATTAGTTTTAATGGACTCACCTAGCTGAAGGCGCTCGGTCATGCATCCGCACCAGATCACGTGTGGGAACGCCGTGCTCGACATCCCCTGCAATTGCTAGCCAGATCAGACAATCCCAGATATATTGATAACCTATCAAATATATCTTCGAACCACTTCACTTCTGTCTTTTGATTTCACTTTGTGGGTACGATTCATATTAGATATTACTGGTTAAAGCGTTGTCAAACTCCTAATATTATTATTATTATTATTATCAGCTTTATTCAATATTATATTTTCGGTACAATATAGAATTCTCAGCGTAAAGTATTTCAACAAGTTTCCGTTTCTTTCTTCTTCGTCGGTCCTGGCGATAAATATTGAGTGATCGCCAGTTAGATGTTAGCAGTTCACTAAATGAACATCTGAATAATATGCATTCTTTTGGTTGTATATTGCCAGCAACCACATTGTCTCTTATTGAGTTGTTTGTAACTTTGACAACGAAAGGTTGTACACTGTTCAGAAACGCAGCAGAATAGGTTGTGCGAATAATAAACATAATGATTTATTAAAACAAACAAAAATAGATAACTTGTTGAAATATCTAGATGGCAGTAACAGGTAGCCCAGATGATCAAGCAGGCCGCCTGTGGAATCTTCAACCGTTAGCCCGTGCAACGAAAACAAGTTTCTGGTTAGACTAAATCATATCACACGCTTGACAGGAACGTGACTAATTTCAGTTCCATGGACAAGTAAAAAGAATTTGAATATATTAGTCGCTCTTTCTATGCATATAAGACAACCAATATATATATATATATATATATATATATATATATATATATATATATATATATATATATATATACTTGTCAGAGGTGTCTTGTTACATCAGTTTGAGTTAGTAGATATTTTACGAAAGTTTTTTCACAGTTTCCTGTAGGGTCACACGCTTTCAGAGGCTTACCTAAAAGTTCTGAATGTCTCGATAATGCAGATTTTTAGAAATAAATTCAAATTTTATGGTTTTTAAAAAATAGTTTCCATGTTTCTTAGCTTATGAAAAATGACACATTGTAATATTATCTGATGCTAATTTCTCTGAAATGAGCTATCATATTCCTAAGCTATTATTAATGTTATCGGAATTCTAAACGCTTTATATGGTTTATAGTTTGTCAATTTGTAGCATTTAGTACAATTTCATGCCCAAGTGGATTATTCTAGCATTTTGATGGTCCAATTAATTTATTCTTTTTCGAGTCAATATCCACAAATATACTTGGTCTTATCATTTATTCACTTGTAATCTTGATTGTTTCTATTGGAGCGTATGTTTACGTGTGCGTTTAACGCTTACTCTATTCGTCATACGTCTTCAGCCTGTTTTTTTTTCACACCATAAATATCAAGTCATCTTTTATTAAACTGAGTTTGCACGTTTGCGTTTTCTGAAGAGCTTCTTTCCTATTACAATCTGTTTGCATTAACGGATACATGGGACGTATATATATATAGTTCTCAGGTTTATGTAAATTATTTAATTTTAACTGTTAAAGTTGACATCACTAACGGAAATAATAAGATGTACTGCTGTGTCTGAAGATTTGGCAAGTTTTGAACATTAACTATATTTACTAATGTCAGAACAGATATGCATTATTTTTACAGAGATGATCATTGTAGTAAAACAAAGTCCTTGAAATTTACATTAACTTAGAAAAGTTGTTAAAAACGTAGTGTAATAATAAATAAGTGGAAAAGATTCTACTTAAATACCACACGATTATGCAAGATAAGCTAGAAAGTTACATACGACCAGTATTTTAAAGTATAAGATAAGGGGCTTAATAAAAATGACAGACAATATTCGTACATGTGTGTATTAAAAGTTAATATTGTAGATAAAAGTGAAATTGCAAAAACTGTTTGTTATAAGTGTGTTCGAAATTGACGTTTATCGAAATGATTCAGGTCTTCTAGTATAAGTAGTAATAGTAATGAATGTAGTATTTGAACTAGCAATCCCAAGGATTTTTTCAAAATGTACTCTAATAGTCAAAAGTAGACCATTATTCAAGTAAAAAGTATAACCATTTACACATGTGAATTTATTGAACTAAAGTTAGAATAACACGTACAATAATGTAAAAAGTTATCTTCGTTGGTTACAAACACAACATCTTTACAAAACGAAATTCCAAATATAATACTCCTAGGTTTAAGTGCAGTACAAGAATACTGGACTGCTGTTGGTTGGTCAGACTGTATAAATATCAACAAAGTTATTTTTCTAAAGTTGAAGTGCCAGATGAATTATTCAGGACGGAAGGTATATATGAAAGTACATCAAATTTTAGCCGTAAACAATTAGGGAAGTGTACTCTTAAGAGAAATTCAATATCATATTTCGAACAAAGTATTTTAAAATCCCACAGATTGAAATCATGAGTCAGTTGAAGCTAGACCACCATTGAAAACCTGGAAGCACTGGACGGCCGTTTCGTCCTAGTATGGGACTTCTCAGCAGTGCGCATCCACGATCCCGCACCACGCGGGGCTCGAACCCAGGACCTACTGGCTTCAATAGTATAAGGTGTATAAATTAATTCAGATATTGAAAATAGGAAGATTAACCAACTAGCTTACACACTAATTTTTAATATGGAATCTCTAAACTTAATCTGACTCTAGAGTGCTGCCTCTTAAAATCTCTTTTCAAAATTTAATGACTCAGACGCTCACCTTTAGTTAGACAATGTAGCACCACTAGTTGATTTCGAGACTTTATGGATTATTATATTTTGTACTAATAATGGAACTCGAGAGGAATTTCAGACAAATTCAGCGGCGTAAAATTCGAATTTGAGAAGAACTCATTAATAATTGCATTAACAGATCGACAAACACGTACTTTGATCAAGAATCACACTACAGAAAACAAGACTCTTATGAAGTAAAAAGCGAATAAATGGTCTACTGTTGCACTCAGCAGTTTTCCTTTGCTCGTGTTACGCACCATTTTCATTTTTATTACTTCTTCACTTATCATTTTATTTTGATACTATTGCTTTCCATCGTTAATAGTACTGTATTCTTTCATTACAGAATCACTTCATATTGAACTTGATCTAAAAGATAATCGAATCTAGGAATATTCTAGAGGACTTTGACCCAGGCCTCCATGAGAATCGTGTGTCATGTTGGACAATGAATGATCTGTGTACTAATTTATGCCGATAATCCAGGGGAGTATTTAATGATGGGTTCTACATTTTATTGATGTCCAATTCTTGACGGCTGTACACATTTACTGAATTAGGATTTATTAAGAAGGTCACATATAAATGAGGGGTAACTGTGAAAACTTATCTAATTCAAATGATGACTGTTAATAGATTTTCATGTAAATGAATAACGGTCAAAGTTTTTAAATACTTACTTAGCTACTTGTGAGTAGTCAGCTTGATAGATAAAAGTGACAAACATTCGAAGGTATTCAATAAAACCAACGTTAATTAATTATTGTTTCCCTATACTACTAATAAAACTCAAAAATATAGATTTAAAAAGAGAGAAATTTTTTTTTCAAAAGCTTATACAGTTATAGAATACTTTCTGTAACTTTTTCTTCTAATAAATAAAATAATATTTCAACCATAGACATGTTTTGTACCTAACAAAGGCAGTAGTATATTTGGGTTACACAAATATTTATGTATACCTCAGTATTCAAACATATGTAGCTATACAATAAACATACATTTATGATGAATAGCGAATACTCCCCCCCCCAAAAAAAACTAGTGACATTCAGTGATTATTTGTTACTTCATTTACAGAATAAAAATATGATAGTTTACAGGGAAAACAAAGAAAATAAAATTCTGAGTAGTTTCAACCTCATAAACTAAGAAGTTAGTGAACATGTATTAATCCATACAAAATGATAGAAAGGCTTAAAATATACAAATCAGACTAGATACTTTATGGCATCATTTGTTCATTAAAAGCATCGTGATAAAAGGCGGTATCAGAACATATTTAGGTGTAAATGTGTTCGTTACATACTTGTACACACATATACACATAATGAATGATTGAATAGTACCGAAAAGTAAGGATCTTGTATTTGCACACACAAATCCATGTGCTTAATTAATGTTTTATCTTTCGTCTATTTTCATTCCATGTGCCCCAAAGTTTCAGACGAGTGTATCAAACACAGACTGGGATTTGAAGTGAAACCTGGAAATAAAAAATAAGCAGTGTTAATAAGATTTGATTTAAATGTCTTTTGTGTATTTAACTCATTCACTTTAATTCGTTTTTCGTCAGAATTCTTCAAATTCTTTTGAACAATAATCTGTTTTAGATATTCGAAGTGGTTCCTCCTCATAATCATCGAAATTACTTGTGTCACCGGGCCCTTTACATGGCGGTAAGAATGGGGCACATATCTGAAAACGTTAGAAAACAAAGTTTTTAAAATATGTGCGTTATCATCATAAAAACTGTAATCATAATGATAGTTATAATGATAAAATAAGTCGGGATGATTCTGTGAATCGATCACGAAGTTACAAGGTAGTTTTAGGGCATCAATTTCCAAAATTAGTTGATTATTTTTACTAAGCGTAAGTATGCTCAGGTAACAAAGTGAGACAGAAAATTAAATGCATTATTTCTGGTTCAGATTATTAAACAGCTCTTTGAAGAGACATGTGGAATAATACTTTAGGAAAAAGTGTATTCCGCTAACAATTTATAACTATATGGCGGTGACATCAGTTCAGACTTATCCACTAGTTAATTTTAGCTGCTTTTATTATTTAACTGTGGCTAAAATGTACTGAGCCATTGTGTCACTTAGCCTAGTGGTATTATCGAACTACTTGATTCCTTAAATGTACGATTTTTCCCCTTTAGAAATTATAATAAACCTACAATTTACGATGATGTCTTATGGAGTTTTGTTTAATTTGAAAATTATTTCTGTCATAAACTGATATAAGGGTGAAAACTACTGAAGACCATGTAGCTGCAGGCAGTTCTCTCTCTGTAATTTCCAGCTTCCTAACAATGGGCGATTATGACCCTTATTTCAGGATTCCTAGGCAATAAGGACCCACGATACCAACAGTGGTCACATTCATGTCCTCCAGGTTTAAAGACAATTGTCTTAATCATTTATCTTTAAATCAAATTCCACTGACGAATATTTTCAAACATATCGGTGAAAATAACATGCTTCATAATCTACACACTGTAATCCGTTTCTTGAAGTAATAGTTTATAAGACCAGTAGATAATACCTTTGCATATGGCACTTTTTAAGTTGTTGGAAATGAAAAGGAAGCCGCATACAAAGGCGAACTAATAATAAATTTATACACCATAATATCTATACCTCCATAGTCTTAAATAAAAGCACTAAGTGCTGTACATAGATTATAAAACGGCAAGAATTTCATCTATTCTTTAGTAGATTTAGGGTTGTTTTAAATAAAAATAAATAAAATAATATGGTTTCTAAGATAATTATACTCAAAAAAAAATATTAGTAGTTGCCATTCAATTCATTTTTACTTAGATTGAAATGATTTCTAGGAAGGAAGACAGCAAGTTTAAAATCCCTTAACATTGTGTATGAATTGTCTCCAAAATATCAAGCAAAAGAATGGTTGTGAGATTATTAGAAATTTTACTGACTACTATAAAGTCATACAATATTACACATTTTATTTCGGATAAATGGTTAAATTTAAATTTATTTAATGCTCACTAATGGGAAAGGATCGATTTACCTTCGATATCAGAGCTTTCTATTAATAGTAGCTTGGCTTTGAATAAAAAATTCCAGTGAAAAAGGTATTCGGCGTAATCATTTTGATATAAGTGTTAGTTAGTGATCTGAAGAAGTAAACAGGCTGAAAATGTTTTTTTGAGGATCAGTGTATAGTTATTTCAAGCCTCCTGTTCTTAGCACTATTGAGGATTCCCGTGTGAGGACCAAACAGTTGTTTGTTCTTTTCGGTTTACAGTAATGGTCTAGCTAAGATTAATTCTTGGTTTAAATTATAAAAGTTCTACAATCTCCATTAACTAGGTTATACTAACAAGAATCATCTCTCTATATAAATAATGGGTCGCTAATTATAATCTCAATCAGAAGAGACGCAATCGATAAACAATATTAGTTATTCCAATCCACCACTATTGTAAAACTTTGGTTGATGTAAATAAAGTTAAATCACATTGAACACTCCATAAAATTAAAATTAAACACGTAATGGACTATCTTATTAAGATACTTTGACAAGACCGCTAACCTTCTGTGATAACTGGTTACACATCTGTCTTGACATCTGTTATATCCGAGTGGAGATTAAATTACAGGTAACTTCCTAGGACTATTCATGGACTAATATTCTTATTGTATAACTACTCAACAATTACACTATGTATATTTATATCCCTCTTATGACAAGCTTTATTTTGGCCTATAATTTATTATTGTACGATTTACGGTTCTTAAGTTATGTTCAGTTTATTAACTACTGCCTCCCACATTCACAGCCACTTTTTGGGCTTATTTGTGTACAAATATTATTTCCTATTTTTCGGTACGTTGCGATCTGTCTGGTTGATATATAAACCGAGTATGTTTGAAATAAACGATCTGCTCTGATTCGAAGCTGGTATTGTGTTCTGGACTCAAGTGGAAGTGCTCGGAGGACATAGGACCAGTAAGGACGCTAGACTGCCCACACCGGTTGTACGTCATTGGTTGGCCTAGTGTAAAGATCCGTATAAGTCGTATCCGGATTGGTCGATAGGTCGCGTCATAGCAAAACAAGACATCCAAGGTCATAACAACATCTTATTATAATAATTTATGGATCGATTCTAAATGTCAAAATAGAACTTGTCTATGATTGTAGATTCGAAATATATTGTGTTCGATTCACATCCGTCAATTCAATCAAATCAGTGAAATACATGGCACTATATGACAAGCATGAATCAATTTCTTATTATGAACATTCACTAAGTTTAACCAAAGCTTTTAGGTCATACCATTACCATTTGCTTTAACTAATATCAGTTCTTCATTGAGATCATGGACCGATTGATGTTAGATCACCATTGAAAACCTGGAAGCACTGGATGGCCGTTTCGTCCTATTGTGTGCGCATCCACGATCCCGCCACCTCTCGTGATTCCAACCCAGGGCCTTCAATCTCGCGCGCGAACGCTTAACCTACTGGACCACTGAGCCGGCATCCAATGGTGTTAATGTCTGACGTCAACCAGTCCACGAAATTGCGCGATCATATTCCATTGTACTGAGGTAGATACTTGTCAATGATGGTCTAACATCAGCCGGTTCATGATCTCAATCAAAACCTTAATAATCTTCACAACCTCTATATCCATACTAATATCAGTTCTCTATGTCAAACAATCTTAATTCATCTTTTAATGCTGAACTGATTTTACAGATACTGTTCGTCATGGAAAACTGTACGGGTTGTGCACATAACCACCAAAGGTACGAAATGTATGTTGTAGTACAAAAGTGTTAGCAAAAGGAATAATGAATACCCACTTCTTTTTGATAAACTGCAACCCAATTAGTTGGCCGGAACCATTTATGACATTTGATATCATCGACACCATTTTTTAAATTACCGTAACGTTTTGTTAAATCTGTTTGTAACAATTGTTTAAGAAGATTTTTCAGATCACTACTAACATGTCCGGGAAATCTCACCTAATAAAAGTACAAAACACAAAGAAATTAAATTAATTATAAAATAAATGAATAAATAATAAGTTATACATTAATTTGGGGTTGAATAATATAGATTTGTTAAAGAAATGTTTATTTGTTTCTCAAGGCTAGTCAATCATCCAATCAGCATTCATCTAACTACTTAATAATTTAATAACTATGCGGTACCAATACTTATTTGTTATTTTGGCGTCTTCTGCAAAACTGGTTTTGTACCAGTATCTGAATTTGTTCTGTTAGAAGTATGTGTCTTCTCAAACTATCCCAGACAAAAAAATAACTGGAAAGGTAATGACTGAATGAATTTGTGCTTAGCGTAGCTGAGAATACAGATACTAATTAACTGAACTACTCTGTATGTTTGACTATGCTAATCGATGCTCAATAACGATATCAGCCATAGTCATTTTATATTTTATATTAAGCCAAAATGCAAAATGCTAATTATTAAGTATCAACTTGGTGACTTGTTTGTACCATGACTACCACTAATATCTCAAAAGTTGTAGGCTTGTCTCTGTATGAATCTGAAAGTGAGCTCTTAATAAATGAATAGAAAATAGGAAAAGTCTATATGCATTTTTAACCAGTAGACAAATTCAATGATGATCAATTATATCTAATTAGTAGATCATATAAGCCAACTTTTTTTGAATTATATTAATTATAATGATAGCTGATAAACCATTGATACAGTAGTTTGTGAAAATATCAGAAATGAAAATAAGATGTGCAAGTGTCAGGACATAGACAAATCAAGCTATCTTAAAGTTTTTACGGATTCTAATTATATTCATGATATGGCGTGAAGAAGCTTTTGGGGAAAATGGATGCTGAACAAAAAATTATCAATTTCCACATGTTTGTTTGATTACTTATTATTGTTTTTATTGTGATTGTTATTTTCAAAACTGAAATGTCACAACCTTCATAATGCATTAAGACGATAAGAAGTAAACAATGATAGACTGTTTATCTCTCAGGATAAACATTGTACTTTGAAGAAACAACCAGGTTTATATACAGAAGCAGAATAATCATATTCTAAAACACAAGTCACATATGCCAACGTATACCGTCATATGATGGAGTTGTGTATATCATTATTCACAAACCACATGTAAATCGCATTAAAATACGCTTCGGTTGAAATCCTTGACGTAATTATCATGTTTGTAAGTCAATATACAGCTTATTATGAAAAAAAATTATAAACAATCGTGTTTGGAATAAATCAATGCTTAGCAGTGAATTCATATGTGTTAAGAAATCATCGAAAAGCATGTCAATATTTATATTGCCTACTGACCGTTATCTAGGGAACGTTCAAGTATTAAGAGTACTTTATTGTATTTTCAAACATCTTCGATGCGATTTAAGCCCTTTTTTATACACAAGCAGTTTTTTAAATTTGTAGAGACTTATTGAAGTGAGACCATAATTTATGGACGACGTTTAAGCGACGCTAAACTGACCTTGAGAGTGTCTATCTAATAACTAGGACCGAAAGAGGGTCATAAACCAGTATGAGGAATTAGAATTATGATTTACAGTTGATGGTTGAGGTTAGGTATTAGATCTAGGGTTTTCATTACAAACTGACATCAGATATATTGCCAAAACTCTATTTAGCCAAATGAATGGGTGAATTTCGCGCCAAAATCCGAGACATTTTATTTTATATTTAATTGGTTCATCCATAAATTATAGTCTTGCTATTATTGGTCATCCGAGTGACGATAGAAAGAATGTGATACTTTATTCTGAAGTTATTAGAAAGTATTAGTGACAAACACAGTAGACTTACTTTACCAGCAACAATTTTCTCATAAATTTCTATAGGTTGATCTGCGAAAAATGGTGGATATCCACAAGCCATTTCATAGATCAAAATACCGAGTGCCCACCAATCCACAGCTTTATTGTAGCCCTAGAGTTTCATTTATCGATTTATTCATAAATAAAGCAGTAGAAAAATGGAAGAACTCGTCAAAAAATTACATTATAAATTGAAATTCAGAACCACGAATTTTGGTGCTTGAAATATAGTGTTTTGGAGAACCATTCAATGTTCCTTCTTAAACTAATCATCTCTGTTTGTAAACCTTGTGTTATCTATATGACCACTGAATTTAGATTTTGAACGGTTAATTATAGCACAAAAATACTCATTTAGACATGTATTTCCTTAAACATTCGGTAAATAGATGAGTATGGAATAAATAATGAACTGTGTTAATAGCGGTTTTACTAATTAGCATGAATTTCTGTCATTTATATGTTACTAAAAGATACTTATTTAAGTTAACTGTAAAAGTTTGCAAGAGTTTCTTTCGTTTTACTTGTATTGATAATTTTATGCTTCAGGTTGTATTTTTTGCAAATAAACTTAAGGGATGTGCATCAAGGTTTATTTCAATATATTTTAAACATCTTTAGCTTGCGTGCATACGTGCATTCTATGTGAATTGCTTCGGAATTGCCTTAAGTCCAACTGAAGAGTCCCAAATTGGATGAAACGCGCATCCTTCATTCCAGTGCTAACCAACATACATTTCTACATACAATGGATTTTATTGACTTTTGAAGTAAGTTTTATATTCAAATGGCATAAAAAGCGCATTATTGTACTAGACACCTTTGTCGACCTATAAATTAATACCACCACAATCTTTTTTTAAATGCCATAAGTAATCTTCGGTTGTTTTAATGCCTGTATCCCTGGTAATATCCCTTGGCTGATTAATTTAATAACCAATTTATCAAACACATATTACTATAATTCATGAATATATTCGACGTAAACCTGTCTTGTTATATGAAACCTCTAGACCTTCAACGGAGGTTAATAAATAGGTTTTTTGCTCAAAGTTGTATGAAAGTATATACCTTTTTACAAGCGGAACAAATCAAGCTATAGCCAGCATAATTACAAACGTTCTTAAGATTTTTTTGTTAGAATATGTTACACCGGAGTGTACTACTTTGTTATACTTAAGGTATGAACATAACATCAACCTTAATCAAGGCTAATGGGCTAACATTCGTGTCACAACATGTTAACAACAGTCAAAACGAAATATAAAGTTACAGAAAATGCAACAATAGAAGTATTTGATTTGTTCCATTCCCTTTCATAGTTTCCCAATATTTGTAGTATACATTTCTTAAAGGTCAGATAATATGATGGTCGTTACTTTGATCATTTATCACATTTTATGATTATCGCTGTTATTAGTTTTCAGTATTTTGTAGAGTTAGCAGAATGTTTTCTTTTAACTGTTTAAAATTGGTTCCGACGTGATAATTCTTAATGAACATAATACTACCGAAAAAAGATAATTCCAACTCCAGTATGCCTTATGATTAGCATCTAAAGCATTCAATTTCATTACTTTTTATTTCAAAAAATAAGACCTAACAAGCTTAAACAAAGGAAGAACGATAGTCTCTTCAGGATTGGTAATCGCGTTGGGAACAAGTGATATTGTAGTTGGTCTATAACTATCCTTTGGTGATCACTCAGTATCAACGACTAGGGATAAAAGAGTGTAGGTACTTTAAACTACAACAATGAGAATGAGATAATAATCAGATAGGACATCTTACAAGAAACGTAATATTAACTTCATAAGGCATATCTACGATCATGAAGCAGCTGACACCTTCTGGTATGCCTGATTAATTAGAGCAATAAGCAAATTGGGTCGCGACAACCAGATTTTGGTTAGTGTTTTATTGTCTTGCATTTTATATAACTTAAGTAACTTTATCGCAGTTACAATCCCATGCACATTATAAATAATACTCACTTTGCTTAGAATAATTTCGGGGGCAAGATATTCTGGTGTTCCACATAATGTCCATGTTCGTCCTTTGATTTTTTTGGCAAATCCAAAGTCGGTAACCTAATGAAAACAGAAGAAAAGTACCTATTATGTATATTTGTAATGAACAAACTCTTAATGTACGAAAAGATTTACTTCACTTTTTAAATAGCTTTTAAAAATTTGAAGATAGCCTTTAACGTTTGAATAGGTTGACAAAAAATTACCAATGACTACATTGAAAGAAGTCGATGTTTGGCAATGAGATCAGAATTTTAGGAAAACTACCTACATTCATTAAGTGATATCCCGTTTGTCATTGGTAGCAATACAACGGAACATTTCACGTTAAATCAAAATATAAACTTTACATTACTCAGTAAGTCATTTAAAATGAATAACTCATTGTATATTGATGATGATGTTTATTACTAATTGAAGTCAACTTAGGAACTGAGAATTCTAGTTTGAAGTTTTTTTCACCAGTATGTAACAACCAATGATAGAAAGTAATCTTTATTCAATGTTATGAATAAATTATTGTTTCATTTATGACTTGATTGTCTACTCTAGTTATATTTTCTCCTTAAAATGTCGTAGAAATATTTTTTGAAGTCTTTGATTGAGATCATGAATTGATTGATGTTAAACCACCATTGGAAACATGGAAGTACTGGACCGCCGTCTTGTCCTATTATGTGACTCCTCAGCAGTGCGTAACAACGATCCCGCGAGCAGGATCGATTCATGATCTCAATCAGAAACTTAATAATCTCCACAATCCTATACTGATATTTTGAAGTATTTAATGAATACTTGGTTATTAGTTTATTCAACTAGAAATCGAGTGGTGAAAAGAGAAAGAACAGCTCACTATTTACAAAAAAGTAATAGTGATATCTAAATAATTCTATTGGATACACTGATACATATATATTTGAAAATTATCTAATAAATTTGAAAGGATAATGTTAATTAGATTAGATATGTTGAAGGGATGAACTGATTCTATCATGTTTCTTTGTCATTCACGTTGTTTTATGCTGAGAAAAAAAGTAACTACAGTGTGTTTATATCAGGATAAACTAATTTATCAGTGCACCTGGTTTGTTAAATAGTCAAAATAACCAACAACATATTTGTCTTATAACATTTAAACTAATGTCTATATTCAGAATTCAATGTATTTTCTAATGGTTAATAATAAATAAAAAAGTAACAGGGTTGTTTTTTTCTTTTAAAGGGAAAATAAGTTAAATCAATCAAATATATTCAGTCAAATCTACATATTAATCAGGATAACATTGCTTGATGTAGATTATCTTATCAAAGTACATTTATGGGAGATGACTTCAGAATATATAGAGGTTTCGATCTGAAAAACAAAACATGAACTTGACTGTATGACTATATGAGAATCCACTAACCTAGAATGATTTTTTTATAAAATGGACACAAAAAAATGAGGAATCAGTTCATACACTTTAAAAAGGAACAATAAGCGTAACAGATAAATATGTTAAAATCAAGGCCTTATTAACATTTCAGTGAAATACTTTTTGCTATGCTGAAGGTTCATTCAACAGATCTAATAAAGGGGTATTGAGAATGTATTCAGTATTTATTGATGACAAAGGTAACTTGAGAATAATATGTAACATGTAAAATGTAACAATTTTAATAGTTCAAACAATCTCCATTCATTAATGTGGATAATTGGAGAATATCATACCTACTATATCCAAACACATCTATAAGATGAGATTTGAACAAAGAACTGTTGCTTTAAATATTGAATAAATATCTAATCTTCCCTATTGAAAGTTAAATATTTTAATCTCTTTCTACTACTTTAGTATATGTTAAGAGATAATCTTAAAGAAAAGTTCCGTTAGCTAAACGATGATGTCGATAATAACATAACTTATTAGTCCCTTTCATCTAAGGGTGATGATTTCAAAGGTAATTCACAGAAAGTAGAAAAACCAAAATCATCTAAATGCTTATTTATACCAAAACTTCGTGAAGTACTGGAATCTATACTGAAGCATGTACTCACTTGGTATTGTTTGGCTTGTATCATTCCATTGAGGTTTAAGACTGCTATCGATCAGTCTCTTATTGGCATATGTGCATACTGTGCGTATGCCTCGATATTACCTTAATTCACAAGCTATTTGTAAGCAATGTTGGATAGTGGCCAGCAGTGGAATCCAGTTTGACGCGCGTTTCGTCCTATTTGGGGCACGTCATCTGGATGTACCTGCATCTCAAAGAGTTGATGTTCACTCTGGGACTCGGACCCAGCACCATTCGCTTCAAACGCCAAACAATACCAAGTGAATTAAAATTCACCCCGTTGCACAAGCAAGTGGCTATCAGGACTCAGTAGCTAAGTGGATAACGCGATGGCGTTTGAAACAAACGGTACTGGGTTCGAGTCCCAGAGTGAATATCAACTCTGAGATTCAGGTACATCCGACTGACGAGTCCCAAATAAGACGAAACGCACGTCCTGGATTCCACTGAAGCATGTACTGTTGATACCTTCCTCTGATACGTTAAAGCCTAAATTGTATCTTCAGTTTACTACAAACTCCAGGGGTTTTTATGGGTCTTCTAACCTTATGGAATTGATAATATTTGACTTATTGATTCATTTATTGGAAATGCAGACATTTAGCCAATACTTCAAATATTGAAATGTTTGATCATGTTTGTACATTGGACCTAAATAAAAGTCGAACTAATCAATTTTAACTAGTTTTGTTGTTTAATCATACAGCTTACTTTTAAATAACCATCACTAGCAATCAATAAATTCTCAGGTTTTAAATCCCTGTAGATTAAATCAAAAGAATGCAGATATTCAAATGCCAGTACAACTTGACTTGCATAGAAACGTGAATCTTCTTCACTAGAATATGAACAGAAATAGAGAAGAAGAATTATTTAGTATATTTAATAAGTTCTTTAATAAAAAGAAACTGAACGTATTGTTTGAAGCCCTGTTGAAACAATTTGTCTAACTGATACATAGCATTTCATTGACTTAAACATATTCACAATTGTACATATCGGATGAAGAGGACCCTTTTTATAAGTTGGTGTCATTAGGTGATAGAGGTAAACTTCCCAGTAAAAGTATCAGTTCCTTTAGGGTATGAAATATGTCAGCTAGTATGACATCTGTATTTCTAAGTTTTTATTAATAACCTCTAACTATTTAACAGTTTACTCCTAAGCAAATTACTACCTAATAAAACTACCTGCTGTGACCATAGTTGGAGCATAAATTTATACATGCAATGTTGATTATTAAGATTGATGATTTAGTTCAAGATATGAGGTGTGATTTATTTTATACTTTGAATAGTTTTGTCGATACAGAAATGTTGTAATTTTGTTGGAATAAGTCGTTTATACAAAGTAAAAACTTAGTAGTATTTATAAAGACTCACTACGTCGTGTTGAAATCGGAGAATGACAGTTTTAGGAATTCCTCTAAAATTATGTTGAACTATTGTGTACAAACAACTTGGTCTGTTTTACTGATTGTTCAGCTCAAATGCTAATTAGTTATTATATATACATTCTTATTGTATAACTACTAAATAGCTAAATTATACATATATTTCTCTTGTCATATGATTTTAGTTGACCTATTAGCTACTATTATACGACTTACAATTCTTAACTTATTTCCGATTTATTAGTTACACTATCTCACACTCGCATCTACTTTTGTCTTGATCTTGTATAATTGTTATTTTCTGTTTTATGGTATAATACGGTTTGATTTGGTTGTATATGGACTGCGTATGTATGAAATACATGATTCATACAGTGGATGCTGAGATTGCGTTCTGGACTCAACAAGCAGGGCAAGGCAAGAAGAAATATTAAGGACTCAGAGTAGGCTCTAGGAAGCTCGTACCGCTTAACGCGTCATTGGTTTGGCACCAGGCTAAGCTCATATACGTCGGTGTTCTAATCGGCGTTTTAGTCATGTGATAATAAACAGGGTCATAAAGAACATAATAGATGGGTATCTGTCTTTCGATAAAAATGGTTGTTCTTCAATGGCCATGACTTTTGACTAGCAATTATTATTATTTAGACAACTGAATATATACACATTGAGTTATTAAACTTATTTTCTAAAGATTGTCATAAAGGAAAATAATGGAATGTATTGAACGCTTCTGGAAATTAGTTAGTAACTAGTAATAAAAATTATCATGTTGAGCAGAAGTACTGACGAATTCACATTTCTAATTTGAGCTATATACAAATGAAAAAAAGTTATTATGTTGCAAAAGCTTTGTATATCTTACCTGAATTTCCCAACTCTTCTTAAATAAGAAAACATTTCACCTCCACTGACAAACTCAAGTACCATATACAAATTTGAATTATCCTTTGATTTGGAATTTTAGCATATAAAAGAAAGTCAAATTTAAACAAATTATAGCTAAATTTAGGTTGAACTTCAATTATGTTAATCAGTCATCAGGATAGAAAAAGAGAAAAAAATTAAAATTTATATCTTAAGTTCTTTCATTCTAGTTTGTAAGTTTCCTGTAGTTTGCGTCCACAAATGTGGACTTGATGCGACAAAAAGTTTACAACAAGCTATGAAGCTAGATGCCAAAGTTTTTCAATTTTAACTACAGATATTTTGTCATATACAGCTATACGTTTCTATTACTAGCTTTGCGTTAGTATTTTAATTTCTAATTGGTTGACTCTTCATGTCACTGTACTGTATCAGAAACTCTGGAAATCTATTTTAAGGTTAGTCGATAGGGAGCATCAAGTTATTACGTAACAAGATGGTTTTCGAGATGAAGTATTGAGATGGATGAATACTAGTCATTTGTTCGAGTACGAATCACACCATATCATAAACGAATTAAATTGAAAATGTTCATCATTGGATTTTACCTTAGTTGCTCAATTATAATGTGATCACCTCAACATATTAAGGTCTGTGGTTGAATCCTACTAGTGACCATAGAATTGTATTTGTAATGTGATCATAACTAGGAAGAAATAGCTGTTCAACAACCCCTTGTTTTTCTGAAGTTCTTCAGTTGTTATGTTTCGTAATAAATAATAACTTTAGATCATACAGAAATATACTGAATCTTAATTAGTTCTGGGACATAATTACATACTACTTTAATATATCTCAATACGAAAAACAATCTGAGTAGTAAGCATGCAGTTATTGGCACTATGTATATATGGATTCACTATTTTTAAGTATTTTTAAACTACATTAAGAATAGTGCCTAGAATGATATAATGACGTTTACGGTTTGCGATCTCAGCTCAAACTACACTTTTAACTTTACAAATATAATGGTCTATATTATGTTCTTTTCAATTTGTCACTGTAATGTTACATTCATGACGATGTTACGTTACTTTTTTTTTAATTGCACTTTAATACATGTTGTTTTCAACAATTATGCTTGAATCTATTTTGTGTCATGATGAAAATCATTGGAAAATTGTTGTGTATTTTTTCGGCATCAAAAACTTGGAAATCAATAAGCATTCTGTTTATTGCAAATTAAATGAAAAGTACCTAGCACTAGCCTAATAAATTAAAGAATGAACATTGTCGCATCATGAATTGCTATGTATTCCAAAAGGTATATTAAATGACAATGCATAGTAATAACGAATTATTTGTTTAGGGAGAGCATTAATTTTTCGATAACTATTATTAGAAATAAATAATTAAATAACTTAGTATCAGAAGGGGTTTCGTGGAGATTGTGGCAATTTCAATAGTTGAGATCATGAGTCAATTGAAGCTAGACCACCATAAAAAACCTGGAAGCACTGAACTAATTATTACTATACTCTTCTTTTCACACAGGTCAGATCTGAAATGTTTATTGGCAATTGTTATAGTGAAGCAGAGTAAAATTGATATTGGTTATTCGTTAATTATTTGAAGGGATGACTGATATCTATAACATGTCTATTATCTATCACTTGTCTAGAGTATTCATGAAACCTGGTAGAAACTTTTTCCTATCCTTTTAATATATGCTGCTACCGCAGGTACATCTAAATCCATATATTAAACTGAAAGTGATGTTGGAGATGTACCGATCTACCTTTGAATTATCTAACGAACATTCAGTGTTGTATAGAAAAATAAACTTAGTAAGAGGTATATTTCTCCTATCACTTGTTCTTTCAGTATTGTTGAAAGACTATTAAATACGAAGGTTTTGCTTTCCGAAATACTTATACTAAGTTTCCTAAACAGATTTCTGGGTACGTACTTTTGAAAAGGAATAATCTGCACAAGTTCAGTTGGAAGGTACTTGATAGATGGTAAACATACAGTGAATATTAGTCTTTTATTCAAATAATTAACAAACAACCAACATTAATTTTACGTTGGTTCGATAAGACAACTGCTATCAAACGTTTCCGTTCTGATATATGTAAACAGAAGAGGATCATGCATCGCCTCTCCTTACAATTATGACTATGATTGAGATCGAATAACCTTCTTTAATCAACTTTTCTCGCTTTCAACCTCTTTTTATCTCTTACATCTTTTAATCACTGATAACATATTCATTTCATTTTAGTTTTAATTTATACTCAGTAATTATGTAGTTATAGCTATTTTCATTCTGACTACACATTCATTGTTTCTTAAAGATGTTTATTATTAATGATCACATTACTCCCTGTATTCTGTAAGATTATTTTCTCCAGCATATAAATAAGTATCAACGTTAACTGTGTTTATACATTTTGTGTCCTGTTCTTCATCTCATAACTTTTGTTCCCGTTTCCAACATCCATCTACCACCAAAATGATCACGTTAATCATTCTTTAATATAAACAATTGTTATGTTGTTTGACTCTTATTGTTTGCTAATTTTACCGATCAGATAACGAATACGATCGTAAATTTTATTGATTCAACAATGAACATGTAGCTAAATATGCCCAGATCATTTTTTATCAGGGTGAAAGTCACGTTCGTTTGAGGAAAAACTCAGGTTGTCATTAAAAGCTAACTAAAAACAGTTAATGAAAATAGTTTGATATCTATGTATCGAGAGTATTATGAAAATTATTACAAAGATCTATTTAGTTTTAAAGTGACATTCACTTTAAACCAACGTCTATTGGAACAGAATTCAAAATGATATTAAAAAACAACAACTAGGAAATCATGACAGTGTCTATCCACGACTTCATCAGGTTTAAAATCTAATACTTCCTAATTTTACCTATAAATATGACCCATTCAACTGATACGATTTTAATTTTAATTATTTTGTTGTATAGTCCAATCTCTATCTAATGTCATCAGTCAATGAACAGTAAGTTTAAAAACAACAACAACAACAACAACACATATTTACATATTAAACAAAATGTTGATAATTTTATTCATTGTAGCTAATAAGAAATTATTAGTTTGACATTTACTTACTTTAAAACTAAAATCCATACTGACAAGAAAAGGAAAATTGATTGCTTGTAAAATTTTTTTCTCATTCAATGTATGTTCTACTTGTTTGAGTTTGACAACCTGTGACAAATTTCAAAACAACGAAAAAAACATTGGAAACTATTAATGCTACTTCACTTGGTATTGTTTTACTTGAAACGTGAGTCCTGGATTGCACTTCTAGCCACTATCCATCATTGCTTATAATGCTTGTAAATTAAAGCAATATCGAGGCGAAACACACAGTATGTACATATGCCAATAAGAGACTGATCAATTGCAATCCTAAACATCAATGGGAAGATTCAAGTAAAACAATACCAAATGAATTAAACTTCACCGCATTGCACAAGCAAGTGGCTATCAAAACTCAGTAGCTAAGTGGATAACGCGGTGACGTTTGAAGCAAATAATACTGGGCTCAAGTCCCAGAATGAAAATCAACTCTGAGATTCAGGTACATCCGGCCAACGAGCCCCAAATAGGACGAAACGCACGTCCTGGATCCCACCGCTGGCCACTATCCATCTTTTATTAATGCTACTTCTTGATGTTGTTGATAATGATAACGATATAAGTTGCATATATACTACAGGTTAGTTTAAATGAATTTTCAGTCGATACATAGATCAGTGGTTACAATGTAATGATTAGTCAGAGCTATCTATCAACGAAAGTATGATCTAGGAGAACGAAACTCTCTACCTGAGTATCAATGCTAGTTCGCAACGATCTAAAACTTATGACTTGTTTCTTAACGCCATGAATGATCAGAAACTCATTATGAAGACTTAGTTGATTATTGAACTAATTAGAATAGATGGAGTGACCGAAATGATAACTTGTTTATATAATGCAGCCTCATGTCGAGTACATAACAGAAACCAAATAGAATTGTAGTGAACAAGAAAACGACTGGGGACAACCAAAATGTATTTGACACGAAATTACAGAGTATTTCACTAGAATCTGAGAACCATATAGTAAATTGTTAATTTGCAAAATCTCAACCCATCGTCTCAAACTTGACAGTTTCTTTTGCAAATATGAATCCATTGTCTCATATTTCATTGTTCCTGCATTTTCATACCAATTTTGTTCCGTTCCCGTTCTTTCCTCATCAACCTTCTACTGAAATACATTCTATGCCTGACCACCGTTATATACTACTTGTGTGGATATAAGTAACCTACACCACAAGAATGATCGACTAACTAACTACGTAGGTACAGAAAAATATCAGAATTTCATTTGTCATATTTCATAATTACTTAAAATTTATTCAATTGTTGCTTGTTTAATTATTACATAACAGGACATCATCATGTCATGATTGAACGTCTATATGAACTTAGTGGACAACGTGCATTTGAGTTTTTCGGTAATAATATGTTCCAGTGCCCACAGTGGTGATATACGTAAATTAAGAATCATTATCAATTGAACACTGTTCAAAGATTGATATAAAATTGATAATAATTTCGAAAGATTAATAGTTGAACTCGAGTCGATTGAAGCTAGATCACCATAGAAAACCTGTAAGCACTGAACGGCTGTTTCGTCCTATTTTGGGACTCCTCAGCCGTGCGCATTCACGATCCTTCCTCGCAAGATTTGAACCCAAGACCTAACAGTCTCGCGCGTGAGCGCTTAATCATTAGATCAGCTTAAATTTATTTTAATTTTTATCAAAACAAAAATTTGATAATCAGTAGAATTGAAACATAGAAGAAAAATAGGTTTAATTACTTTTTGTTTTTCTAGAATTTTCATTGCATAATACATCTGTGTCTTTTTATCTTTCACTAACATGACACGACCAAATGATCCTGTACCAAGTGTTTTTATACGATCGAACTGATTCAAGGTTGCATTACTCTGACAAATGGAAGTTAAAATGCACAAAATAAGAGAGAAAAGAAGTAGGATTATATAACAATGTCCGTGTATTTAATAAAACATATTTCTCTATGGTTTTAAATAAATTTACAAATTTTAATATGAATCAAAGACAATAAATAACATTGTATATTCAGTTAATAATAATTTTCATTCATGATGGAAATCTGTTCCTAAATGACATTGTAAACATCATTTCATTTACATAAAATATGTAAAAGTTATACAATGATGTCAATGACTTGTGAAATGTAAACGATCGTACATAGATTTATCTTAAAAATCTGTATTGTATTTGTTTATTTGATAGACCAATCGGTAGACGTTGGTTAATTTAAACATTTTAAGTAAAATAAAGTATAAGATATGGTTAGCATACGTTTAAATAAAGTTAAACGAAAGTTATGTATGAGAAAACTATTCTAATCGAAATTATTTTATTCAGGTAATAGATTCAAAAAGATTTATTGCTTCAGACAGTTATGATCACGTCTACAGCATGAATCATTTGTAGTGGTAATCTTTTTTTGGCTTAGGATATTTATTTTAATGTTGACGTGGAATTGTAATTTTGTGGTTGTTACTACGTGTTATTGTACTTTGTAGCCGAGCATTTATGTGTTTATAGATGAGTTGTTTGAACGAACTCAATATACTCAATTTAGTAATATGAATAATATTAATTAGACATTTGTCCATCATATGGTTTATCTGAACTTACCATTAAGCCCCATTTCGTTCATGTAATTGGCATCAAGTCACACTTTAAGTTTGAAGGTTAGTGGCGGTAGCTGCAACTAATTAGTGATTGAAAATCGGACACCTTAACCATTCAGCCACCTCATGAGTCGCAACTGATAACCGATATTTCGTAATTTTGTGTAAATATCAATTTTCAAAAGAATGTAACAATACTCACATTGCACTGCTTGCATTACGGTCGTATACATATTGAATTCGGACTACTTAAAGTCCAAAATTAAGAGGTTTTTAATGATAGTTCTTGGAAATTTACAAACTATACACATTTCAGCAAGATGGTAATTTTTTGTATGTTCAGTTACAAAAACCATGTTAATTATTAGTTTTTGAAAAATTCTCTATTGATTTATCAGTTTCCTACAAGTACTCATTAATAGTGACGTCGTTTGAGTTTCTCACCGCGTTGTGGGTTAAAAGAATGAAACGTCATGACCTAAGATTGATTTTACTTAAGAGTTATTAGTTTAATGTTTCTCAGTTAGTAGTGAGAGTTGTAACAGGAGCGAAAACCAACATTTTACTATCTCAGGTCTTACAGTACTTTAGATAAATAAATAAAAATCAAAACAAGAGGGATAACAATTCTGAGAATTAGAAATTTAAAGGTTTTCATTTTACCGCAGATCATATTCAAAACTGGATTAAATGGTCTCTTTTTAGCATATGAGTTCCTTAAAAGAATTCCTAGGTGTTTGAACTTTTAACTTTATTATAGCTTTTACTCAGTGAATAGTAATATTACTTATCGTATTTAAGTGATCTGGTGAACAATGTGGTGGAATCTGAAGTGTTGAGTATCAGTTTCGAAGATTGGTTTGAAAACCACCACTGGAATCCAAGTTCATTAATTCAAAGGATTTTAATTCGGTTACAATTCTAAATTTGATTTGTAAATAGTGTGTAATTGTAATGCCACTTTAGAAACTAGTGTCTTGAATAAACCCTTAAACACGACTAAGAGAAATCTTATAATAAAAACTAAAAGTCAACGTAGTTTTCAATGTCAGTTGGTTTGATTAGAAAAACGCGGTTTTAACTGAACTACATATATTACTGTTTCAATTTGCCTGTATTGTTTATGCGTGTATATAAGTAATGAACTAAATACGTTTCTGTTTAGTCGAAATAAGAAATACAATCTCATTCACAAGTTAATTAAGTTTTAGGTGGAGTTTTGTTCTTTGAGCTGGGTGGTTTCGTCAGAGAACAAAACTCCAGTTAAATCATCCATCTGAGCTACAAATCTTCACCATCTCTAATTAAGTTTGACCGCTGTAGTCCAGGAAATGATCGAACTGAATATAAACTAATTTTTAAAAATGGTGTACAAAATTCCATCCATGAATATGGGCATATTTCAATTAACCGAGAGTCAAATATTAAAAATAAAATAAAGAGATTCACAAACAGAATAGACAGAGAATAAGCTCAATATTTTAAATTTGTTAAATCATCACTATTTAAACCAATGAAACAATATGTCCTTGATATTCATCATTTATTCAAGTTGCATAACTCACTTGAGTTGGGTGTGACCATTTTTGTTCAAATACACGAGATTCTTTTTCAAGATAATCGCCAACTAAAATGTATCAGTAAACAAAAACAAAATAGAAAAAATAGAAAACCATAATTTCAATGGTTAATGTGATAAATTACAACAAAATATTTAAATAAACGATATTGTTTTCAATTAGATCTTCATCAGGCTTTACTCTAATATACAGTAATATTTATATGCATATATGAAATTATTAAAAAAATCAAAGCTGTTTATGAATTAATGATAACAGTGGAATAGATTACATAAATAAATACAATAAGTAAAGAATACAAGTCGTTAACATGATGATAGGTGTACTAGTTGTGATGAGACTAACTAAGCGCTGAATCCATGTTTCATCATGGAAAATAGGTCAATAACTTAAAAAATATAGATACTGGAATAACATTCATAAAATCTATAAGATTACGTAATGAGGAGTGTGTGGATAATTGAACAGTGAAGCGTATATTTAGAAAAAGAGGTGGGAGGGGTGATCGGCCGTTGTTGACCTCTAACCTATCATTGTCTACCTCATCACTTTGATTGTATCTCCCTTTGACTTGATTCTTCCTCCTATATTTGTCCATGATTTTTATTATTGGTTGATGGATTGGATCTATTTTGATGTGTTTATTGACTACTGTTTGACCTGAGTGCCAAGCTTCTAAACATTCCCTAGTGTTTTTGGAATTCCGCCTATCCATGATCTCAACATTCTTCCGGTCGAAAGTGTTTCCATAGTTGTCCACGTGCATTGATATAAGCATGGATAGGTCATGAAGTTTGACTGCTAATTGATGTTCGTGCGGGCGAAGATGAAGAGGGCGTTCTTTTTCTCCGATGTAGTGTTGTACGGAATTGTATCAGTTTATTTTGTAGATGTTCGTTTTTTCTTATTTGTCACATCGTCCTTTGCCTTGCATAAGACTGATTGAAGTAATCTTGCCACTTTATGTGCTGCACACGTTCTAAACTGAATCAACAATACCATTGTAATTTCTGACATGTATTTTACACACGGTAGGATGATCCATTTGTCGGTTTCCATAATCGAATTTTGCTTTTGTTGATGAGTGGTATTGATATTGCTTGATGAACCTGCGTCAATAGCCACTCTTTTTAAAGGTAGTCACCAGATGGATTTATTCGTATATGTTCCCGCCCTCTTGAATGTAGTTTGTACGCAGTTGATTTTGTGAATTATGGGGTTGTCGCTACTATAAATGATTATTTGAGTGAGTTGGCTGCCAATATACTTGAGTTTCCAGCTTTTTTCGTAGGAGTTCTAGTGATTAGTATATCCAATGATGATAATTTGTTATTCGAATGTTTTACCGAAGTGAATTTTATGTCATCAATGACATTGTTGATCAGATTGTAGGTGTTTTAATTTATTTTAATACATTAGTTTGTGGAAAAATTATTTTCCATGATCTTCATTTTTATTCACTGAATCTAAATGAAAAAGGATATCCACTTTGAAATGTTCACTAAAATTGATAAATCATACAAAAAAACGTTTAACCGTTGGTTAAACAACCTCGAAAGTTTTTACACATTCTTATAATTTTAACTAAGACACTGTAAAGTTTACATTAAAAACAACAACTGAAAATCAAGTTCTTTTGACCTAAATTCCCCACATCCGTTAGCAATATATGTTCACAGAAGTGTCTGAAACCAGACCCAGAAAAAAAAAGACCTTGACGCTAGCTTATTCCTATCAAACGTTGATATTATCACAAACTATTTCTTATTGAGTAATGAGATTAAGACCTCCAGCTTTAAAGCATCCGACATAAATTCGCTGTTGGTATTTGAAAAGAAATCGAATTCTGTGGTTTATTGTGATCTAACCGATTGTTTTCTTTCTTTTTTTCTCTTTAGAATGCAGTAATTTATGGTCATAAATTTCGTGAAATTATCTCAGTATTACTTTCAATTTCTAGTTGATAAATACAAGTTTAATGTTATTTTTATTTTTTCAGAGAATGAACAACTGTTCAATGACCTTAGAAATTCAGTTGTTAAAATTACCATGGAGATTCAAACTGTTCCAATGTGAGGCCTAATTTTTACTTTAAATCTGTCAGTTTTTTTTTACTATAATGTGCATTAACATTTTTTTTTAAATCAAAAATTTTGGAAATATGATCCTCATTTATCTTGTTATTTATATTACTTATTGAATGGTTTATCTTCAATTTCATTAAAAAAATATATTGTCTTATATATTATACTATTCTTTAGGTCATATTAGTTAAGGTGAATAATGGTAACCAGATTCGATTTGTTTTCTTTCCTCATTTCTTTTTTCTTAACATAAATGATAGAATTTTCCAGAACTCTAAATCATAATATCCGAATTGAGACTTAAAACAAGATAACTAATGAGAATAAATGTGTTATCAGCAAAATTCAAAAATCAAATCGAAACCATTTTCATTGAATAGTCATTTAATCGTTTAAAATATAGTGAAAATGTTTTGTATTATAGTTTCAAATAAACAATATTTCTGTCAATCAATCCAAATAGAAATATGATTTACCTTTTTTTCTTTTTTTTTAATTAATAAATAATAAACAAAATGTAAACTAGATTAGTGTATTTCTTTTTAAAAAAAACCCGAAAATAAACAAAAATAACCTTTGATAATGATTAAAACAAAATGTTCGCACAATAATTTGAAAATGTACTTTGAATAAGTTTTGTATTGATATGTTGAATGATTTCATATAGATTTAGTTGTTTAGTTGTTTCTGTTATTTCTGTTTAGTAGATCATAAAAGATAATGTTTATGATATGTTATAATAAGAAATTTCACTTAAAGAAACTAATGAAATTTGTTCAGAAAGTTTATATTTAACTAACCTTTTAAACTGATAGTATGTTTTGATTCATCTGTTTAGTTTACTCTTACACTAATCAGTAATTTATATTGAGTTAGGCGATCATCAGGCTTTCGGTAATATATGATCATTTGTGAAATCATCTTAAGGTGTCTCAAGATAAATGAATATATATGTTTAATCAGATCTGTTTTGAGAAAGTAAATCACTGAAGACAATGGTGGATAAGTCGCTTAATTTCGTGAATTGGTTGATTTATATAAACATATAAACATTGGTACAAGGAGGCACCAAGTACAACTGCTCCACATAAATCATTCGATTTGTGTGAGGACTGGGATACCGCACGAGTGCCGAAACCGAAACGAGTGGTTCTCTTAAGAGGCCACACACGGATCATTCGACCTAAAGCTTTGATCCACAAGTCAGTGGAGCAAGGTCAAAAGGTGCAGTCTCATGGTAGACGGTGAAAAACGATTGGTTCATATGCCATTTGTTTCCTCAGGATACATGAGTCCATGTGCACCATTGGTTTTGAATCAGGGTTTTCCAACTCCTCTAAGTGAATTTTCCATGTCCACCGACCCGGTTAAAGTTCCGGCATTCGCTTTTCATCCTTTGAATTTCGTAAACATCAATAATGCCGTTTGAAGGCAGTGAGTAGAGCTTCTCCGGCAGTGGTTGTATACATGTGTTCATGTGAGTGCATTTCGTGAAGGAATTCTGATTCTCCCCACTCCCGACTGTTCCATGGCATTTGTGAGCATTGGTTGAAGCTAGACATTAGCACCCTAAGATGCCGGCCATCTCAGTGGTCTAGAGGTTAAGCGCTCGCGCGCGAGACTGATAGGTCCTGCGTTTGAATCTCACGAGGCAGGATCGTGGATGCGCACTGCTGGGGAGTCCTACGATAGAACGAAACGGCCGTCCAGTACTTCCATGTTTCCCATGGTGATGTAGCTTCAAGTGACTCATGATCTCAATCATTGAAATTACTATAGTATCCACAAAACCCCTTCGAATATTTATGTGACATTCCTTGAAAAACCTTACTTAGTGTTCTACCATTTGAAATTAGTGATAAGTGAAGATAATTGAATTAAACGAAAAATTACTAACGTTCAGTAGTTTTATAAATCATCACCTACACAATTTTCAGATTTAGCTCACATAAGTATACATTCAATAAATCAACGGATTATTTATTGCACAATGGTTGACATTTGAATTCAGTTCCTATTCATGTCACAGGTTGTTATAATTGAAAGGAAGAATAACAGTCATAGTAAACCTATAAGTACTTCTCGATTGAAAAATGAAATTTTAATCCTCTCAACCAATGATCTTAACTCATGAAACAACTTTGTAAAGTCGATAGACCCTTGTAACTTAATAGATCCATGTGTTTTTGTTTTTCTTATTCATAATCTATGATTGTTCATTTACAAGGGTTGAAGTAAGTTCTATTAGAAAGGGATTATATGCTGTATAGAATGGAACAGAAGTTCGTTTTCTAGAATTTTAGAATACCTACTAGATTTCTGTAGTTTTGAAAATATTACTAATTTACTTCAACTAAAATATGATATTCAATTTGACCGAAATGTTACAGTTTGGAGGTTAAAACGGAAAAAACGTCCTCTTAGTACTGGAACTAACTTGGAACAAATTTTAGAACCTTCTAGTTAGTGGAATTCCATACTTGGCTGTTTTTAAAATTTAGTGAAACATATATGCTTTGTTCAATTACTGGTTTGTCAGGATTAGTTCATCTAAAGAGATTTCTTATTGACTGACATCAATAAGACAACCGAGGAGGGCCAGGGAGTCCTATCAGTCAGTCGGTCAGCTGCAACGTAAGATCAGGCACATATATGCATCAGTCCAAGTTGCCATACCGCATTAACACAACATGATGAACACCGGATTCATAGAAGTAGTTAATTCAATGATGGTAATATATAAAAGAAAGATTACATATAACGATATAGTACAGGAAGAAAGAATTAATTCATAGAAAGAAAGATATGAAGCGATGTTAATCTCATAGTTTGAAAGAAGACAGAGAGTGTATACACCTACGCCATTATGGTCGATTCTGAGCCATGTCACATAGAGTCTCCAAACATTGGTTACGATAGTGACGAGGACCCCAACCAACTAGTCTGCATCTACCAACATGGTT